AGCACCATTCTTGTGAAGTAGGTGGAGCACTCATGAATGTGCTCTTCTTAGTCCTTATCCTAATTAGCACTACTGGTGTTAGATATGCAGTGGCATTGATACACAAAGTGCATAAAGCGCAACTTGAGTTCTAGTACTATACTAAAATGCGAGAGAATTTTTTTTCTTTAAGAAAAAAAGTTTGAACCTTTTGTTTTTTGTAATGAGAACTTTTTGATATCAACAAAAAAAAAAAAAAAAGTTTGAACCTTGAGTTGATTCAGATCTATTGTTTTTGTAAAATTAAAGTTAATAGAAAGTTTATGAGCGGAAGTTTATGAGCAGTTAAAATATGAATCTATATTTATTTTAGTAAACTTTTAATTTAATTAATAAAGTACATATCTTTTAAATTTATAAAGTATAAAATTTCATGATCCATTTATATTCAAACTAGAAACAGGAGTAGAAATATATGGCAGAATCCTTGGATTTAAAGTACAACCGAAAATTAGAAGATTAAAACGGTAGTAACAATCACAAGAATGTAATTTCAGTTCAACCAACTTGGGCAAATCAACGACATCCTTGCAAGTGAAATCTCCGTTGCCTGCAGGCCACCTCCGCCGTCCGGCCAAGTCTTGCTTCAGACCCAGATACATATTCTTGAACTTTTCGTGGGTCAAGTCAGCAAATTCGTTCAATTCGAGCCAGTAATTGCTGACCCTCTTGTTGGTTTCATCAATGTGGTTGACATTGTCCTTGAAAACATCAAATTTACGCAATTTCTCTTCGATGGTCTCGTAAATCTTTCCATGTTTGTCCATCCAGGACTCGAAGAGCTCCATGAGTTTATCCATGGAGGTTAGATCGTCCGGCCAATAGCCCACTATTGAATAACCTCGGGCTAAAGATGAAAACGAGAGTAGAGACATGGAAAAGGCAATGAGGAAGATTTTAGAGGATGAGGGCATAGCCATTCTTCGCAGCTTAAAACAGTTAATTTTTCTGATGGAGATGAAGAGGATGAGAATGGAGTGGTTTTATATAGGTTTTGATATATAGCTAGCTAGTTATGAATTGCTTCAAGTATCATGACCGCAACTGCGGTACAGCAATTAACAATCGTGCATTTTTACCAAAAAAAAAAAAAAAATTATATGTATATATATATTAACAATAGTGCATCACACTTGAATTTTCAAGTATTTCTCTTTCATTTTTTTAAGTTATCATTCTTTTAGTTATTAAATTTTTTTTTAAGACAATAACAAAATAATACAAAAAGAATATATACCACAACTTCAAAACCATTAAACTTTATGTTTCTGTCAGTTTTAAGGAAGAAATTCGTCGCCAATCGTGGAAAATACCTTCGGTGGGCCGTTATTAATGAAGATCCAATCATCCAAATTGGAACAACCGTAAGAGGTCCACACGGAATCGGAAGATCGTAACATAAATCTGACACCTGTTGTCATTACGCAATAAAATCTGTACGTGTCATCCCCATTTCTAAACCTTATCCGTTGTTGATATGATAATTCCACAAGCGTTTGTGTATACAACAGGACAGGATGTAATTTAATTATCTGACTTTGATTTTTTATCACATGGTCCAGAAAGAATCCCCCTATACCCGGGCATACCGACGCGTTTCTAATATAGTCAGACAAAATATCGTCGTCATTAATAAAATCCAAGAAACAATTGGGACATTCTTCAAAATCTCAGCCCCAAATGGAAGCACAGCTAGATCGTAGTATGA